TACAACTGAAACACAAATAGTAGGCACATAAGGCATCACTCCTAGATCCTTAGTCCTATTCTAGCATGCGGTTCTACGAAAGCTGATAAACATAACATAAACTTGTATGGGTACTATGGGGAATACTTACTTGAGCTCGGCCGGTCGCGCACATCACACACTTCGTTCTTTCTCAAAACTCTTTTCTAAATTTTAGAAAACATTTTCTTTTAGAAAATCTTTCAATCCCTCGATTTGAGTTCAGACACTCCCGAAGACGTGTCCGAATCCCTCAAACCAGGGCTCTGATACCAACTTGTAACGACCCAATTTTCACATCCAAAAAAAATTTGTTTAAAAACGTTACTTTAGAAAATATTAATAACTAAAACATCGTTTGATCAATCATAATATAAACTGAACCATGTCTGAAAACCAAAACATACAACTAATCAGAATATCAGAGTATCGAATCCCAGAAAAGCTAGTAAATGCGGAAACCAGAGAGTGTGTGTGTGACATGCTGCTACCGCGCCGGCTCCTTTCCCCTAGCTGAGGAGGTACCTGAAACCAAAACTGAAACTGTAAGCACAAAGCTTAGTGAGTTCCCCCATACCATGCATACATATAACAAACAATGTTCCGCTAGGAGTTACGGGCCTTGCCCACACTCGGGAAGATACGGGCTCTGCCCACACTTCGCTAGTCGGGAGATACGGGCCTCACCCACACTTGTGAAGATACGGGCCCTACCCACACTTCGCTATCGGGGAGATACGGGCCTAGCCCACACTCCAACCTCGGAGAGATACGGGCCCTGCCCACACTCAACCGCTAACCCATAACATACAAGTATCACGCAGACAACAAGTATAAGCAACTCTATCATATTAACACATATTTCATACTTGACTAAACCCAGAGGTACGGGCTCGGCCCACACTCTAGTACTAACATCTCGTCTACACGGGTCGGCCTTGGTGCCTTAGACCCATTCCTACTGGAAAGGAAACTCACCTCGAAATAGCTGCTGGTCTGTGTGGGAATTAATCACCTACTACTGCTGTTGCTGCTCCAGAAACTCCCCGGCTGTAATTCCCACAATATACTTAATCATACACTGCTAACTGTCCTTTGGGTAAAAAGACCATTTTACCCCTGGTCTAGCCCTAAGTCAAATCAGAGTCAACTTTTAGTTGACCCGACTCGCCGAGTGGCTCTCCAACTCGCCGAGTCCCTATCCAGACAATTTTCCTGGGTCCCTGATTCTACTCGTCGAGTTAGGCTATGACTCGACGAGTTCATCTCCTAAACTGACATCAACCCCTTCATCCTACTCGCCGAGTTGTATGAACAACTCGTCGAGTTCATCTTCATCCGAAGAACACTTATGCTAAGACTCGCCGAGTTGTATGAACAACTCGCCGAGTCTGTTCTTGATCTATGAAGATTGCCTTGGACTCGCCGAGTCAGGGCATTGACTCGCCGAGTCCTAACATGGGTGAGTTCAGCTCCCAACTCACCGAGTCACCCCCTGTGACTCACGGCTCAAACTCGATACATCATAAAGGGACCAATTCGGTGACTCGCGACCAGACTCGCCAAGTCGCATATACGACTTGTCGAGTCGCCACCATGCATCCACCAAATACACCGATTTGCTCGATTCCAGTCCATGCCATTCATAGATCTGGACTTCTAGGACACAAATCACACGTAAAGTTTCCAACTTTACGTGTGGATATTCACCAATATGGATTTTAGGGCTAAAAATGCCTTAAAAGGGTAGATCTAGGGCCAACAAGCAACATGGGGCCATAAAGCTAACAGATCTGAGCTCCTGGAGCTCAATCTTGCCTAGATCCAGAGGCCAAACATCTTATTACGACATATAATGCATATACAAGCTTGGGGATTTGACTAAGAAAGACCCAAATGAAGTTTTAAGCATAGAATCATGGGGAAAACAAGTTATACCTCAAGGGAACTGCTGGAAGAACACAATAGTTGCCTGGATGGCTTCCCTTCTTCTGGATCTACTTCTTTCCTCCTTCAAAACCTTCAAAAACACCCACAAAAGTCTCAAACTCTCAAGGAACGGCTTAGAACGAGGGATACAGGGCTCTAAGGGTGAATGGGGGCTGGCTTGGGGCTGTTAAGTCGTTTAAATAGGGTGCAAACCCCTGAAACTTAGGGTTTCATCCAACAGCGGCGACTCGCCGAGTCCAGGATATGGACTCGCCGAGTCACCAACTTAAAACGTGACCTGGGTCGCGTCTCTACTCAGCGGGTCGGACCTATGACTCGCCGAGTCCAAGGCTAAAATAGGCAATATTCGAATAAGATTTACATACCAGAAACTAGGTGCTACACTTTCATAGGCTCACCAAGCTTGTGCTTCTAACTCAACACGTAATATCATCATCATAACGTTGTAAAAAATTAATATATCCTTCTCTAGGTCAACTCATTATAATAAGTTCACAATGCACCTTAAGTGTCCTATTATTAATTATGGAAGACAAAGAAAAGAAAAGGAAAATACTAAATTTAAGACACACAAAATTACAATACTAAAAAATGGGACGGACTTGAAAGTGTGCCATGCTTCATAATGAGGCATGTTGCGATTTTCGCCTAATAGATCATGTTTTTTGGTTTATTTTCTTATTTCACCATTTTTCTTATATAAGACCTCAAATCTAAATCAATTCAATAGCTTAAAACACATGTTAAAACACTACAATTGAACATAAGAGAGAATCACCACATGGTTCGTATCCTTAGAATAGACCTCAATCACAAAATCATCTCATAAACTTCACATATAAGCTTAATGAGAGTAAGGAACTTAAATTTGCACCAAATCGCTATGTATGAAGGTGGAATTCAGCCAAATGAACTAATATCTTTATAGAAGCTTAAAGAATATTAAAATCATGAAGTCATGGAAGATTAGAACTCAATCCTCAATTAAGATTGACCTCAAATCTTCACATGAACTCCAAAGAAGATTAACTTTACCAAAAACTCAATCAACATCATTACAGAAATGGATTACTAACAAGGCCTCAAAGTTGTTGATTAAACAAAGAAAAACACAAAACAACTTCCTAATACATCATGATTCATGGATTTTGGCTAGAACCCTTAGGACTAGAAAACCCAAATTATGACCAGAAATCAATTAACTCAAATGAGAGTATGATTTCAATTATAATGATGAGTAATGAACTAAATACATTAGATGAACATAAAACACCATGAATCCTCAAGTTAAATCATGAAATTTAGATTCCACCATTGATGAATAAGAAAACCCATCAAAAGATTCCAAATTCCAAATCTCACAAATATTAGCTAATTAGAGCTTGCAGATGGATCTAGAAATGAAATCACAACATAAAAATCATTAGAACATTATAAATGGAACATTACATTGATATTTGTACAAACACACAAACGCTAACACGAATTTAAAAGATGATGGAAGAAGAAACTACCTCTAGATGCTAAATTAACAGAGAATTTGACCATGACTTCAATCATCAAATTCCATTTATTTGGAGAAGGAAATTACCATGAAGGAGAGTGATCTTGGTTGATTACATGAATCAGAAGAGTAGAGAAGAGGATGTCCTCAAATAACATAATTTTGGTCATTTATGCAACTATACTCTCTCCTTGCTAGAATGCTTTCAATAAAGATCCCAAACTAGCTAAAAACTTGTAATAACTAACATATGGTCTTTCCCCATAATAAAATATACAAACTTAGTCCTAAGCACTAAATTGGTTATTTCTACCTTATTTATATATCATCTAGTATCACGATTATAATGATTCTTTTTTTTTTTATCAGTTTTTGTCTTTTTAATATATTTATTTTGTTTTAATTTATTCATTATTTTTATTATTTTTTTAACCTGAAATATTTAGAGGAGTGGTATTTTGTTTCCAGATATGAGATATTTGCTAGTTTATAAATTCATAAATATAATATTGAAGATGAATGCAAGTTGTAGCTTAATCTGTGACAAAATGAGCAAACAATGGCATTTCTAAATGAAAGCAGATAACAACTTGGTTAAAGCTACTTGAGAATGTTGATAAACGATTATGAAATTAGATGTGAATTGTGTGTACGTAATATGAGATAAAGTATATGAAATGACGAGGGGTTCATCTTGAATATAAATTATAAATCTGATACATTCATAAAGTAAATACGAAATTAAACAATATATTACTAGTGAAGTATGTAACCTTATGAAACTTATATTGGGATGAGATGTTGCTCACTAAGCTATTTAGCTTATAGTTGTGTGTGATTTATGTTTACACGTAACAAAGATAATGTACAAAACGATAGAGATTGTACGATAGATGTTTATAACTTTATATTAGTTTTCATTTACAAAATGATCAATTAGTTAGCCTTGATGTTATGAAAGTACACCGTTGCTGATTTGTTTTTGTTTTTTTTTTTTTTATGAACAATGATCATTTATTGATTTGAAGTTAAAAAGAAAAGTTGTGGAGTGTACTTTTCTGTTAAAATTGGGGTATCACAAATAATTTTTAGTGAACCATGATGATTTATTGCTTTAAAGTAAAAAAGAAAAGTTGTGGAGTGTACTTTTCTATTAGAATCGGGTGGTCCAAATTTAAAAAGATTGGACTTATTAAAAATAATACATAACCATAGGATCCATTATATTTACATAATTTTCTCCTTAAAAAAATAAAAAAATAAAAAATAACTATCATCATTTATAAGGAGACAAGGCTTTAGAGCATTAGGTATGGGCCCGTTGAGGTGGTGTTATAACAACTTATAACACCAAGAGGGAAATGGTGTTCATGGTGTTATGACTATGTTATGAGGAGGTTAAGAGGAGAAAAATAGAGAGAGAAGAAATATGCAGCCAATCAATGTTCTCGTTTCAATATGTCATAACGCCAACAAGATATGCCATAACACCAAAGAGGAAATGGTGTTCATGGTGTTATGACCATGTTATGAGATGCCACATCAGCAAAAACACAACTTCTCGTTGTCCATGCCATATACTCTTAAAAAACATAAAATATGACGCAATTTTGTAAGAAGACTAAACACCCTCTTAACAGTCATCTTTTAGACACTGAATAACAAACAACCAACGTATAAAGTGGAAAAGACTCCACCTACGTTGATATGGATGACAACGGCACCGACACCCACTCCACCGGAATCGAATCTCCGCTACTCATCAACTTCGTTGACGGCGTTGTCGACTATAGAGGACGTCCAGTTCTCAGATCAAAATCCGGTTGCTGGCGATCGGCATATTTTATCATTGGTAATGCTTAGCCTCTCAAAAACATTTCCAAAAACAGTAAAAAAAAAAAATCCAACCTCTTAATGTTCCTGCAGCCGTTGAAGTGGCAGAGAGATTTGCGTACTATGGCGTCAGTTCAAATTTAATCACATACTTGACCGGTCCCTTGGGGCAATCGACGGCCACCGCAGCCGAGAATGTCAACACGTGGGCTGGAACGGCGAGGCTTCTTCCTCTTCTTGCCGCTTTCATTGCTGATGCTTTTCTGGGTCGATACCTAATGATTATAATTGCTTCTCTGCTTTATGTCCTGGTTTTCATCTCTTCCTCATTAATTTCAATCATTTTTTACTTTTCCAACAATTGTGTTAAACTACATCAGCAGATAGTTCTACATTCAACAATTCGGAATAAATCATTAACTGTTTGCTCTGTTGATATCATTTTGATAATTAATTAATGTCTGATCACAATTGACAGGCGCTTGGGTTTCTGGCTCTTTCCACTTTTATTCCTTCAAACTGTGAAACCGCCAATGGCGGATCATCATGTTCTTCTCAACTCCAAGTCGTCATGTTCTTCATTTCACTGTATCTTGTCGCAATTGCCCAAGGTGGACACAAGCCCTGTGTTCAAGCTTTCGGGGCAGACCAGTTTGATGCAGATGATCCAGTAGAACGTAAAGCCAAGAGCTCATTCTTCAACTGGTGGTATTTTGGAATGTGTGCTGGCCCTACAGTCGGAATCTTTGTTCTTAGCTACATTCAAGATAACCTTAGTTGGGTTCTCGGATTTGGGATTCCTTGCATAATCATGGCTTTTGCCCTCATCGTATTCTTGATTGGAACCATAAATTACCGATTTGCAGCAAGAATCGAGGAGAAAAGTGCTTTTCTCAGAATTGGCCACGTGTTTGTTAAAGCAGCTAGGAATTGGAAAACTGCACCTTCAGTAATGTCTTCAGATGAGGAAGCTTTTGGAATCTTTGATCATCAACGTTCTAAACAATTCAGGTAACAGTACATTAACATTTAACACGTTATTCTTGAATTCCTCGTGTTTTTTTTTGGGGGGGGTTTAAATTATCTTTCATTTTTTATTTTTCAGATTTCTCGACAGAGCTTTGTTTAAGGGATCGAATGAAGATGGAACTGTTTGTAATATTGACGAAGTGGAAGAAGCAAAGGCAATTCTTAGACTAGTTCCAATATGGGTTAGTTGTTTAGGGTATGCAATTATATTAGCTCAAACTACCACCTTATTTACAAAACAAGGAACCACCATGGACAGGTCAATCGGGTCAAATTTCAAGATTCCAGCCGCCACACTACAATCTTTCATCGGTCTCTCGGTTATGATTCTAATTCCCATCTATGACACCATCTTGGTTCCTTTTACACGATCCATTACAAGGAAACCATCAGGTATAACCATGCTTCAGAGAATCGGAATTGGAATCCTCATTTCCATTGTTTCGATGGTGGTTGCAGCCGTTGTTGAGACAAAAAGACTCGAAACTGCTCGTGAGTATGGATTAATAGATGATCCAAATGCAACGATTCCAATGAAGATATGGTGGTTATTACCTCAATATCTATTGGCTGGAGCTGGTGATGTTTTTACGATGGTGGGTATACAGGAATTCTTCTATGACCAAGTGCCAAGTGATCTTAAGAGCATGGGCCTCGCACTTTACCTGAGTATCATAGGGATTGGTAGCTTCTTAAGCAGCTTTCTGATCTCGATTGTTGGGAAAATGACAGGTGGAAATGGTGAAGATGGTTGGATATCTGATAATGTGAATCGAGGGCATATTGATTACTTTTACTATCTTCTTGCGGGAATTAGTGTGGTGGCGTTTATGATGTACATTTATGTCGCAAGATCTTATGTTTATTATCGAGAAAGAGGCTTGTGATGTTGCTGAATTAAGTGCTTTGGGTTTCGATTTGGTTTGAATTGAAGTTGAGGCACGTAGCATGATATATTGTTGTAATGGTTGCATTGATCACGATTTATTTAATAGAAATAGTTTAAATATAGAACCCTTTAAATAACTATACTTATGGTTTAACTTATGAAATTTTATCTTTTTACCCAGGGCATTTAAGATCGATTGAAGTGAATACAATTTAACAGGATTGTTATATTATTATTTTATATTTTATAAAAATACTACCATCTATTACTTATAGTAAATTAAACTTTAAAAACATTCTACAAACATTTATTTTAAACTTACAAAAAATATATTTTTTTATTGAAAAGTTCAACGGGGATTAAAATTTATACTTGTTGGATAGCATCGTGTCATCTCATCTATACTATTGAACTCCATATTTGTTGGATATCATCATGTCATCCTATACTCTTGAGAGTAATTCTTTAAATGTCAATAAGCATTACATCTCATTAAACGTTTTTATTGATTGAACTTCATATTTGTTGGATACCACAGTATCATCATACTATTATTGAGAGTAATTCTTTGAATGTCAACTAAACATTACATCTCATTAAACTTTTTTATTTAACTATACATTGTGATGTTCTAACAACCCTACAAAGTTCTTTGATTTTACCAAAATACTTGTGGTACAACCTGTGACTAACTCATTTTTTAATCTAACATCTGATGGTCAATATTGGTAACAAAGCCAATAGAACTTTAAACTATATTTATAATTTCTACTATAAGGCATGGACATTCTATAAATTTCTCCCTATAAAATGATATCAAATTGAAATTTATGGTTAATTTGAAATTACCCATTATAAACTGGTTAATTTGAAATTACCCATTATAAAATGCAAATGTGTGGATATATATGAGACTAAAATGGTTAACAATGATACTATTAGAGATGTCAATATGGGCGGGTATACTATAACCACCATGAGTTATATTATTGATCTCTATAAGATTATCCGTAATACCCACCACTAACTAATATAGTGGTAGATGTCACACTATCACCACACTCCATACCACTAATCATAGGATACCTACCACTAAACACACAACTCCATCTTATTTTTTTTATTTAAATTTAATTCAAAAATATATTAAAACACAATAAAATATATTTTTTATTTAAATTTAATTCACAAACACAATAAAATATATTTTTTAAATTAGTTTATATTCAATGAAACAAAGATTATATTAATTTAAAACACACAACATAAAATAAAAAAGATAATAATTAAAAAAAAACATAAAAATGCAACCACAGACAACTTAAACTAATTTTTAACCCTTATTTTTAATGACTAAATTTTGGGAACTCTCTCAATTTTCGCCAAGATTTGACGTGTTTAAACGGCGTATGTTTTGTGTCTTCATATTGGTGCATGGTCACAACAAACAGGTCATATTCGTCAACATTGTTTATAACAAAGTTATAAATCTCATTGAATTTAAATCATTTTACCCTTATGTCACGAAACTTCGAACATATTTCATCAAGATTACGACTTTGGCAACCCATTAAATCATGAAAAACGTTTCCAACTTTTACCCAAAAATTAGGAGGTATTTTTGAATCTTCTGAAACATCTACCCATGCTAATGTTAAATTCTCTTCTTCATTTACTAACCAGTTCATCCTTTTAGGAGTTATTGGCTTTTAGTTTATGAAGCAAAAGAAGTGTGTGATTGTGAGAAGAAAATAAAAGAATTGTATGAGTAAAATGAATGAATAGGTATGGTATTTATAGAAGAGGTTTAATGTTATTTGAAAAGTAAAATTTAAAAAAAAAAATAATAAAAAAATAAAAAAAATTAAACCCTAAATATAGTCGTTACTCAACACTCAATCAAATTTTCCATTTGCATTCATTGTTCCGACCACGATTCCCCACGACCATGAACCACCACTTGCCATCGGGATGGTGTGCACAATCGTGGTTCGTGGCCAGCTAGACCAAGAACCCGTGATTGGGTCTTCTGAAACAGCTACACATGCTACTGCTAAGTTCTCTTCTTCATTTTCTGACGAATTCATCATTTTAGGAGCCATTGGCTTTGAGTTTATGAAGCAAAAGAAGTGTGTGATTGTGAGAAGAAGAGAAAAGAATTGTGTGATTAAAATGAATGAATAGGTGTGGTATTTACAGAAGAGGTTTAATGTTGTTTGAAAAGTAAATTACAAAAAAAAATTAAAAAAAAAAAATAAACCCTAAATATGGTCATTACTCAACACCCAATCATATTTTCCGTTTGCATTCGTTGTCCCAACCATGAACCACCACTTGCCACCGGGATGGTGTGCACGGTCTTGGTTGGCCAGCTAGACCACGAACCCGTCCGTTGCAACCATACCGGACGGCCTAATGAACTATCTCTATAACCGCCCGCATCTAGGTCAAGTATTAAAAATCCGTCCCCAACTCTATCTGCGGTGGGGATTCAAGGATTTTTTTCCCCATTATAAGTCATAGCAACCAAAACAAATCAAAGCTCGATCAAACTCGACTCATAAAACAGGAAAAAACAAAAACAAACAAAACACAAGCTCATATTGTGTCTGAACTCCTTAATAACTACTATAACAATATCTTTGAAAATGTTGGAAATGGAAAAAGTTTAATAAAAGCCACTTACAAATGCCAAAAAGAAACATGTGATGTCATAATGATTTATAATCAACTCCCTCTAATCTATTTGGTGTCGCTTAGAAATGTGGGTCTCAATAAAAATCAAGGAATAATAAGATGTAAATTACTAAACTTTAGCTTTTGTATATATTTAGTCGGTAAATTATGTTTGTGCTTAATATACTATTGAATTAACTGAAAATGTTCAAAAAATACCAATATTACCGGGTATAGTGGGGTTTGCCGCTTAACGACGTCTTTTCCTGCCAAACATGAGTTCTCCGGTCAAGTGTGATTTCTTCTGGTCATCATATTCGCCCAAGTATGAATTTTCAGGCTGAAGAACACAAACATCTAATCGATCTGCAAAAAATAAGACATAAATCACCATAAGAACACGAATGATGAATCTGTTGAAAAATCGAACTGTGAGGTAGCCTTATACCTGTCTTAGTCCATGGTTTTTAAATTCGGGCGGTTAATATCTTCATACTCGGCCAACTCGGGGATTTACTCCGTTAACTCAGAGTTGGGCATCGAGTATCCATCCGGTACGAAAATTGTTGCATCTCTAGCTACGAATAGTAGGTCCAAACTATGATGTTAAATAGATTTGTCAACGACCATGTTAATTATAGAGTACGTCCAATCCCTCGATCTAAATTTAGTTTATAGAGACTTGTAATTTTATTATCAGTAATATAGGCATTCGCCTCTCAAAATCGATCTCAAACTCATAAAAATAGTATTAATATTTGATGTTTTATGCAGGTATTAAAGTACTGGGGAGATGTGCTTTTATGGTATTAAGATAGACTATGTTTGTAATCAATCTTAATCATGGAAAAATTATATTGCTTTTCTTTTTATTCTAACTTATCCTAATAGACTACATTTTGTACATGTTAGTTGTTTGGTGAGCTTAAGCTTAGGTAAGCGTGATGTGGGTTAAGAGAGACGTAAGCTTTTTTCCAAATATGCAAAGAATTTTTTTTCGTCAGGATTGGTTGTTATATGTTGACGAAAGGCATGTGATTAAGATTGTAAAATGTTGGTGGCATCTATATAAAAGTCATCTACGTGGCACCCACAAATCCACAATTCGGGACTAGAAGTTTTACTATTTAAGAATTAATTTATAAAATATTTTTAAAGCAAACTAGAAAAGTGTCCCATTGCGGGGTCGGATTTAAATTAAGCGACTATAAAAAAAAGGCAATGGTACATAGCTTATTCATTTGAAAGAGAAACTTAATCTAATCAGCGAATGATTTTTTTTCAAATTCACGTTTGTGAATTGTGATTCTCTTATGGATTGATCCGATCATCAATGCCATATTGTCTTCCAAGGACAGGTCAGCCGATTTTGCCTCTTCAAGGATATTCTTCAGGGTTTTGTACTCTTCTTGTGCTAGTGTTGTGGAGATGATGTTGTAGGATTGGTCATCCATTATGAATCCTTCTTGGATCTTTGTCTAAGCTGCTGTAGCGCCAGCCAAATGTTTGGGTTTGTAATATAGCCCTTCATCTGTATAAGAAAAGTTGCACATTAGTAAGAAAAGGTGAAGTAAAATGGAAAACAAAATGGACAAGATCCACAGATGAAGGTATGTCAGTCAATAACCCAAACAAAAATACATTTTTTAAGCTATACACACAAAAAAAAATTGAACTACAATGCGTTTGTTTAAACTTTTGTAGTGAAGGAAAGTAGGATACAAATTAGGAAAATACAAAGAAAAAAAAATCAAAGTATGTTACTACCCCTTTATATGAAAAACCGACTGTCGGTTTTGCCATGTGAAGGTCCTTTTGCCCCTTCACTTCACATTTATGAATATGTACTGAATTAGTTATCCTTATGTGTTGTTAATTTCTTCTTCAAGTCAAATTTAAAAACATACTATCTTTTTAAATTTAAATTTCACTTATTTCTAACAATAATTCTAAAAAAGTGTTTTGGGAATTGAACTGTGAATGCATGATGCATATTAGTTAACATCCTTTAATTAAAATAAAATGGAAACTGAATATATATATATATATATATATATATATATATATATATATATATATATATATATATATATATATATGTGTGTGTGTGTGTGTTCCTGTGTAACACAACTGACAAGATTATTACAACTAAAGAGAAAATAAAAAGTAAAGCATCATAACTTATGGCCTGAGGTTGATATATTTAATAATCACATGTTCAATTAAATTAAGTGACAAATATTAGCAAATGTGAAGAAAAAAAGATAGTACCTTGAACCAAAAAAAAAAGTAGTCCCTTCTACACATACGGACAATATATCAAACAGCTTGTGTGCAATAAATCAAAGAAATTCAAGAAAACATGATATTACTTTGGGCAAAAGATTTGATTCTCAAACAGGTTGTTGTCATCTACTTCAACATTGTAAAGTATTATCTGTGGAAATATAGTCACATCCCTCTTCATTAGCACCTACAGTAAAAAGAAATAAAAGACGTATAAAATGACAACTGAAATACTTAAAAAAAAAAAAAAAAAAAAAACTCAATAAAGATGTACTAAGACAAGAGACAAATGTAAATGGTAGACAAAGGCACAAGCAACCATGTTTGAGTTTATCTGATACGATATCGCATGGACCATGTTCGAGTGATCATTATCTTTTTATATGAATCATATGGATTTTTTTTACAGTTTATTACTTTTACAGTTTTAGAATGAGAGGCTAGTTTAAACCAAATCCAACCCATTAAGTAATTTTTTCACAAAAATGATAAAAATTGTGTAATATTTGGTGAGCACGATAATTTTCCTCCAACCCATTACACCATTTTAAACAACAAAATATATGTTACAAATATATTACTTTTCTTTAATGTCTTAAAGATTTTAAAATACAATCCTTGTATTTTACGTTGAACAAATAATATAACACGATACTTGATCTTTACTAAGAAGAATATTTTTTTCATGAAACAAATATTGGTTAGAACAATATTATACCAAAATTAATACAAAAAGAGAAAAGAAGAATTTTATATTGAATTGGAGATACCCTATAAAAAGTACTTGTGTAGTTGTATCTTTATGAAAGTGACAAAGTATAAAGTTAGAGGTAGGATTTTGACACTTTTAGGTGGGCAAATAAAACAATACAATGGGCATGCAAACCGAAGCTTCCTAAAACGCCCATATCGGTGATCAATCTTTTCAGTAATAAATGTAGTTTGCATTTTGCAATAAATCAAAGAAATTCAAGAAAACATGATATTACCTTAGGCAAATCTCAAACAGATTGTTGTCATCTACTTCAACATTCTAAAGTATCATCTGTGGAAATATTAGGTCACACTCCCTCTTCATTAGCATCTGCAGTCAAAAGAAATAGAAGACGTATAAAATGACAACTGAAATACTAAAGAAGATTCACAAGAGAAGACCATCAATGCTTTGAGAGCTTCTTGTTTCTCAAAATAAAACCCTATGCCTCATTGAGGCATTTCATCAAATAGGTTAGGTGCAATTTTCAACAACAATTTAAAACTATAAAGAAAATCAAGGATGATTTGTCTTAAATCAATAGAAGGTGCAACCTGAGAAGAAAGCAGCCGATAATGATCAATTATGGCACTTGTAATAGAACGGAAGAAGAAAACAAACCATTGTTACTGTTGAAAGGTCCGACCGATGCCGATGAGCATGAAGATTCTAATATCGTCCCTTCTTCCACCATTTTTCTCATCTTTCTTTTTGTTTAGCACCAAGTATCCAGGAATTGAAGAATTTTCTGTATATATCTTGATTTTGTATTTGGGAGTAGGGCTGTAAACGAATCAAACGAACACGAGCGAGGTTTGTTCATGTTCATTCGTTTAGGTTAACCGAACAAATAAACGAACACGAACGGCTAAACGAACGAGTTCTCTTGTTCATGTTCGTTCATTCAACAAATTACATTATTCATGTTCGTTCATTTATGTTCGTGAACATGCTAAACGAATATAAACAAACGAACATAAACGAACAAAGATAAACAAACATAAACAAAAATATAATATAGTAATGTAATCAAACACAATTAAACATATATGAAGATAAAAGGAACTTATATGAACGAACATAAACAAACATAAACGAATAACATAAATGAATGCTCACGAACATAATTGAACGAACGAGACCATTGTTTATGTTCGTTCGTTTAACTAAACGAACGAGAATAAACAAACTTCCTGTCGAACATAAACGAACATAATCAAACACAATTAAACATATTGTTTATGTTCATGTTTGTTCATTTATTAAATAAACGAACTTCCCGCCGAACGGTTCACGGACAGTTCATTGAACGTTTAGTTCATTTAAAACCCTAGTTAGGAGGTGGAAAGTAAGTGGCATCCATCTATTATTTGGTCAGATTTATCAAAAAAAAAAAAAAAAAAAAAAAAATTGGTCTTTCAGTCAGAAAAAATAAAAAAAATGGACCAATAGTAGCATGAAGCTGTTCCGTAAGGAACTAAAAATTAATATAATTATAAATTAAATAAAAGTAATTGATTTAAATAAAAAAAAATGGACCAATAGTAGCATGAAGCTGTTCCGTAAGGACCTAAAAATTAATATAATTACAAATTAAATAAAAGTAATTGATTTTAACTTTCATTTTTAATTAACTTAAAATGTTTAAATTTAAATTTATCCCATGATATGTAAAAATTGAACTTAAAAACATTAGGATTGAGTATTAAAAAATGACACTTAAAGTAAGTTCACCTAACTAGAATATAAAACTAACTAGTTGTGAGACCCGTATATTATACGGGTTGGAAAAACAAAAAATTAAATATGAAGGTTTAAACAAAAATTTATTTAAATTTGAAATTTTAGATTTGAAATTTAAAATTTAAAATTTAAATTTAAATGGAAACGCATTAAATTGTATATGAGTTGTAATATTGTAATTTATTAGTTATTTTCAATTAAGAAAATTATTAATGAGGTATAAATATGAGGTGTTAATTAAAAAAAGATAAAAAAAATGAGAAAATGACAAATGGAAAAAAGATTTATTCAAAAATACCAAAAAATGACATGTATCCAAATTAATAAGAAAGTAACATGTGGTAAAATTATTTTCATTTATTAGAGAGGAATTATAAGAATCTTGACATATATGATGAAAATCTATAAGGGACTAGGAGTGATAAAACATCAACTTAGGTCAGCCATCATATTTGGATAATAATAGGTCAATCTTGCCAATTATAAATATTAGGATATGACTTTGATTTAGCATGTTTAACTAGGGTTGGGACTAAATTTGTTTACTTATTAGCGAATCACAATGATTTTTTCATAATTGATTTCTATTAATCATTTGAATATATACAATATACATTGGGGTCCATTGGGCTGACAATATAAGACTGGTACACATACATGGGCTAAGACCCTCCATATCAGATAGGCATGCACAAACCGATTTTTTTTATGAACCGGACCGGTTCAGAAAATTAGTTCGGTTCTGGTCAATTCAGTCAAAACCGGTTCACTCTGAAACCGGTTCAGTTCCAAACCAATCCAGCTTCAAAATAATCCGAACATATGTAAACCGGTTCGATTCTATAGAAACCGGTTCAAAAAACCGGTCCAAAAACAGTTTCAAAAACCGGTTCGACGGAAAAAAGGTTTTTTCATTTTTTTTTTTTTGTTTTTGGGCTAATAACTGAAAAATAGGAATGGGTTTTTTTTAGATTCTATTGATTTTATTGTGTTTAACAAAAAAAAATGGGATTCACAGTAAGTTTTTTGGAATTGGGGGTGGAATGAATTGGGAAGGCACAAGCCTTTTGGTAATATACACAATTGGAGGTGGAATGAATTGGGAAGGCATAAGCATTTTGGTAATACACACACATATACACGTCCATATATATGCCAAAAGGTTTTTTGTTTCTTGTTTAATAATATACATATCTTTTGATGTATTAATTTTTTTTTTTTTTTTTTTTTTTGGTTTTAGATTTGATGCTTGTGTATATGTACAAAAACATAATGTGTATACAAAATTGTTCAACTTAATGAATATATATATATATATATATATATATATATATATATATATATATATATATATATATATATATATATATATATACACACACACACACACTATAAGGAATGGTTAATATGGTCAAAAAGGAGTAAAAATCGAGTCTTGAACAGCCTCAAACGGCTATATAGCCATTAGGAAAAGACAAAAAAACGGTTCACCAACGGTAACTTCGAAATCCGGTTCAAAACCGGTTCATCAACCCAGTTCAGAATAAACTGGTATCAAACTGGTCTCCAGGGTAAAACATGCGAACTGGTAACATCCGGTGGTTCGGTTCACTATGGGTTTGGTTCTTACGTGAACCGATTCAGCAACCGGTTCAGTTCCCAAACCGATTT